TATCAGATGCGCATGCTTCACTGCACTCTGTCTCTCCACTGCACTGCAGGAAGATCCAGTTACAGCCTTATATATCATGTCTCTTTGGTTCCACCAAACACGTATCTCAGAACTGCCGTTAAAGGAAGGAAGACAAAACAGTAAAGAGAGAGAGGGCTGAATGTGTTTTGAGGGCAAAGAAGATTTTTCAGCATGCTGTTCTGCATCATAAAATGAAAAAACAATCATTTTCCTATAAAGGTTTTGAACCTTATATTAAGCTGTAGGGGAGTATGAATATACTGAGAAAATTGAGGCGCTGTGAAGTCATCAGCCTCAGATCTCCAAGGTATTCTGGAGCATGTCTGGGCTAGATGTTCAAAGTCCTGTCTCCTCATCCTTAGCTTGCTCAATTAGATTGGATTTCTCCTTTAATGTAGACCTGTGGTTCTGGTCCTGTTGGTTAATTGGAAGAAATATGTATTCACTTTTCCATAAATCCTGCAGGTATCTCATTTACCTTTACTGTTTCTTACATTAATGCCTTGGTCTTCTGACTCTACTGGTTGTCACCTAACACCTAGAATCACAAGTCTGTGTGTTCTGGAGAAAGAAATGATGTCAATATTTTGCATGTGATGTATTCTGGGCAAATTTTATTTTTACTTTTTCCTCTGGTACAAAGTCTCTCATTTTCTTTCTTTTTCTCCTGTCTCCAGCAAATTCTAATACTGTTATTTCTATTGCTTTTTTCCTTCTACATCTTTCCATTCTTTTTTCTTTCTCTTTCTTCCCTCCAAACCTGTCTTTTTTGAGTTACAGATGATGCAACAGCAAAGTACGTGCCTGCAGAAGCTACAGCTGATATGTCATCATTGTATTTTATTCCTGTTTTCTTGCAGACTCCTGCTACTCCAGGTGATGCCTTTATCCCATCTTCATCCCAGTCACTTCCTGCTAGTACAGACATGTTTGGTTCTGTACCTTTCAGCACTGCTGCCGTACCCTCAGGTAAGAAATCTGGGGAAATATGAGCTTGACTCAAATTTGGTGATCAGTTCTCAGCTCTGGTTTGCATTTCAGTACTCAGGGTGTTAATTTAGTACAGTGGAAGTGGGGAAGGACTTTGAGGACAGTGCTGCAGGGCAAGACAAAACAAGTCTTTAACAAGCTGGGAGTACCTTGTTTTGAATTTACCCACATTTTTTAAAACAAAAGCCAAAAAAGTCACTGGGAGTTCAACCATAGTTCAGCCGTCTGGATAACATACCTTCTAGGTACAGTAGCAAGAGAGAAAAAAGCATTTAGTTTAGCTTTGCTTTCTTTGCGGTAGCACCGAATATGCTGTGCTGTCTCCAGTAAAGAGAGAATGAGACATGGAGAATTTGATTGCATTTCAAAGGTATTCCACTTAGTCAAGTCTTGATATTTCCTTTAGATTTTTCTGTGTTCCTGAAAGTGCTCAAAATTCAAAAGCTGCGTAGCATTCTGCAGACACATAAGGCATGTAGTTTTTGACTGCTGATCTCTCCCTGGGATACTCGGAGCACTGCAAGAGCAGCGCTCTCAGCTCCACTTACGGAAAAAAAAAGGAGGAGGAGTGCCTTGAATCATTCAACAGTGACTTTCTAATTGGTTAACTCCTCCTCTGATGGGCTGCGTTGCAGCATCAGATTAGCCACTGCATCTCAGAAAGGTTACACTGATGGTGAAGTGTTTGGGGATAATGTCAGATGAAAACCCTCGCTGCTTGGATGAGGTTACCATGGGGGCAAGATAAAAGGACATCTGGAGAATCCATCATAGCCATCTATTGAAATAGATATATGTCTGAGTTACTGTTCTTTCATCACTCATTAATGTAGTCTTTCAAAGTTCTGTTTCTATTTTATTTTTATTTTGGGCTTTTCCCTTTACAATTTTGCAACCACCTTTACATTTAGCATTACAAACCAGCCTAGAAATAAAGCAAAGGGGAAAAGTTACAGGACGACTTAGAAAAACACTCAGGTTAGAAACAGGAGTTTTAAAGCTACGACAGTATTAAACATAAAAGAGAGCTTGCATATTGTAAAGTATTAGCAGTAAATCATTAATTTAAATGTGAAATGGCATATCTGTAAAGCATAATACTTCTATCAGTGGAACATAATTGTATTATGTGGTTTAATTTGTAACATTTTTTACAGTAGTTTTAGTTTCAGATTTTTTTTTTCATTGTAAATAGCAAAGCACCTGATCATATAATTCCTACAGTCAAACTCTTGGTAGCTTGAAAAGAGGGTTCAGGTCTGACAGGAAGCAATTATCATTTTAGTTTTAATCTTTAATTTCCTCCCCAACTAGAGAGGTTTTATGCTAGCGTAATACCTGAAGCAGTTTGTTGTTATTAGTTATGTAGTACAGGAGAAGCTCAAGACCTTTTTGATGTTCTCAAGTAACTGGGTAATAACCAAATGTGGTTTTTTTTAATCTGAATTCATCTGGGCTCTGTCTTTTTATTGTGCAATTTGAGACACTTGCTTTGCTCCTCAGAGTGGTTTGAACTGTGCCTGTGTTGGAAGAGATGGCACAGAGTCTTTCTCTTGCAAGAAGGTCACACTGCCATTAAAGGGCCCTTGAGCTGTTACCTAACATATGTGAAGGTGCTTCCCCATAACTTAGAACCAGTTTTGTCACTATGCCATTGGCAGGAGTTGGCTGGTGTTCAAGTCACTCTCCCCAACAAAGAATAAAAGCCAAAAGGATGAGGAACTGCGGCAAAGCTACACAGAGGGGAGTCCTGGGTGTCCTCTTCCTTACCTCTGCTTGCTCTGGCAGCTCATTTTTTAGCAGCGTATGGGCTGCTCTGAAAAGGTGAACTCCATCCCAGACTGACCCAGTGCATCGTGTTCAGTCCCAGACATCCCTGGCCCGAGAGGAATGGGACAGGCAGAGGTGAAAGGCAGAGGATGGGGGGAGTCAGGGTAGCAAGAAGAGCCTGCAGAGCACAGTGGTGAGGAGTGGGGTTGTGCTGCCAAGGGGGTGAGTTTAGGGAATGTTTTGGGAGCTCCTGTGGTTCTGGTAAGTGGTTTGACCAAACTGTTCCCGGCTGTGCTTTGACAGAGCCCCAGGGAAGGGTGCTGCCAGATTATCAGCTTCCGACAAGGTCCGTGCACGCAGGTCTTCACAGACCCAAGGGGGTACTCACTGAGGAAGAGAAGAACTTTTTTGTTCAGATGAGGGGAAGGATTATTGCCAATATCCACCAATTTGTGGTTTTGTATACAAGTATTTGTTCAGTGATGTGAATTCAACCATGTCTTTCAGTTTTCTTTTTAAGTGTGCTGAAGCTCTGGGAACACTAATGTAGCCTGCGTGTTTCTGATTTATTGTGTAGCTTTTTCTGCATGCTCTTGACAGTAGTGTTAAAATCTTTCATCTTTTTTTTTTCCCCCTGCTCTCTTTATTCTTTGAAGGTTATGTTGCCATGGGAGCTGTTCTGCCCTCATTCTGGGGACAGCAACCACTTGTTCAACAGCAGTTGGCCATGGGTGCTCAGCCTCCAGTTGCTCAGGTGATGCAGGGAGGACAGCCAATAGCATGGGGCCAACACGGTATTTTTCCTCCTACTCAGCAACCGTGGCCATCTGTAGCTGGTCAGTTCCAACCAACTGCCTTCATGCCAACACAAACTGTTTTGCCTTTACAAGCAGCCATGTTTCAAGGTACCATTGCTCCTATAGCTACTGTTCCACCCACAAGTGATTCCAACAGATCAAGTCCACAGACAGACAGGCCCAGACAGAAAATGGGAAAAGAAATGTTTAAAGATTTCCAGATGGCTCAGCCTCCACCAGTGCCATCAAGAAAACCAGATCAGCCTTCCCTCAGTTGTACCTCAGAGGCCTTCTCAAGTTACTTTAACAAAGTTGGGATGGCACAGGAAGCAGATGATTGTGATGACTTTGACATCTCTCAGTTAAATTTGACTCCTGTGACTTCCACGACACCATCTACAAATTCACGTGAGTATTTATATGCTTTCAGCTATACCTTTCCTCAGATGTGACTGCTCCTCAAAACATTTCTTTTTTTTTTTTTTTCATACAGTAAATTGCAACACAGATATGGACTGAGAACCTTCATGCATGGTCTAGCTTATTAAATGTGTTCCAGCCATAAAGAAAAGTATCAGAGAGGAATCTCAGAGACCATTGAAATCAACAGTCCCGATAGCTGCAGTCTGAAATCTAATTCCTAAAATGACAGTAATATATGTTCTGTGCTAGGGACATGCAAGCTGGTTGGAAAATGCCCATGACATTCAACCTTACAAATGGTTTCACTTATGTCCCATTCAAGCCATACTTTGCAGAAATTAGGAAATGGGTATTTATTTTAATAGCTTGATGTATTGGACATGTGAGGAAATTCATTGAAGAGCTGTAAAATAAGCTTATCATGTTTGTAGCATGGAGATGGGGGATTTTGCAGATTGCTGAAAAGAGGAATTCATGAGAGACAGATTTACCAGGGGCCAGCCGGAGACCTTCTGTTTCGCTTTCCTGCCATAGGGCAGGCGACTCATGCATTCTTAATGTAACGTAGTGGCGTCTCCCTGGTTCCTAAAGACATATGCCAGATGCAGCCAAACTTAATTTGGAAACTGCTGAATGAAATCAAATATGTGGAATTGATAATGACTACTGTGTTCAAATTTACCTCTTGCAGCTCCTCATCAGAAAATAATTTTCAGGGGTAATAAAAGTTGAGGGCTCTAAAGCATGAGCAAATTTTGTGCTGCTGTGTCTTTCTGAACAAATTAACAGATACATATTCTGTTGCTGTTACCTTAATCTTTGTTTAGCTCCAACCCCTGCACCCAGACAGAGTTCTCCATCAAAATCATCAGCATCTCATACCAGTGATCCTGCTGCAGATGACCTCTTTGAAGAGGGGTTTGAAAGCCCAAGCAAAAGTGAGGAGCAAGAGGCTGTGAGTAGCAACAAGATTTCTAAATACTGATTAGCTCTTTTTAAGCTAGAAAAGACAGAAGTTATTTAAATGTTGTTTGGTAGTGTCAGAAATAACTATTCTAATAGGGCTGGGTGGTATTTAAGGGGGAGCTGCAGACAGAATTTACTTCCTGCTTTGGTTCTGATAGCTAATAGCATGACATTTCTGTTGATATGCACTAATATTGCATACAAGGAACTAAACTGAGAGTTCATATGTAAGGTTATATGTGTTAGTTGTAGCCAATGTTCTTTTTAGCATACCAGCATTCACTTATTGATGGTAAGGAAGTCCGAGGTAAAACAACATACATTCTGAGGCTGCAGAAAGAGATGTGAGAGTTGGTGTGTTAAAAGATGATGGTTGATGTTGTCTTGCACATTCTTGCATCCTAGTTGCTTGCCCAGTTACATTCCTCAATGTTCTGGCCCTCAGTATGTGATTTCTTTGCCTTAGACTCGGTGGACCAAAGCAAGAAATGTTATCCAAGCAATGATTTTAAATCACAAGGTATCTTAGGCAGCTAAGAGCCTAAGTGAGCCAAAGGCAAGAGGGAGTCTGTACAAAAAAGGACCCAAAGGTACAAAATAATGCAAGCTTGGACTCTTTCCGATTCACATAGATTCACTGGCTTTCAGGGCCTTTTGTAGTTCTCATTTGTCTGATCCAGTACCTTCTGAAGTCTGTGGCAGCTCCTGCATGTGCTCCAGCAGGTACTGGTGAGATCCTTTCCTGCCTGCATCAGCTATAGGAAACCATTATGGCTTTTGAGAACATATCAGCGGTGAGGTCTCACTTTCTGGTTTTCATGAGATAGGATGTACTTGTTATGCACACAGCATGAAAATAACCTTGTGTTGACTTTTCACTTTCTTCTTGTTGAGAAAAAAAGGTGTTATGTTCTTGTATTCTAGCCTGATGGGTCTCAGGCCTCATCCAACAGTGATCCATTTGGTGAGCCAACTGGTGATACTATAAGTCCACAGGTCGGTAGCTAGATAGCGCAGGTTGGGGTAGGTATCTGTCCTTTTTTTCTCTACACCTTGAGGTGCTCAGTTATTCTTCCACCAGTGCCTACCATTGCTTTCATGGATGCATGGTTTGTTTTTCCTTTTCATCTCTTCCGTTTTTCCTCTCCATTATCCACAGTGTATTCCTCATGCTCAGTGGTTTGCATGGCTTTTGCCATTCACTAAGTGTTGCAACTTATGCAAATATGTGTGTTTCAGCTGCCTGCATGCTTTAAAGAAATGTAGACTTACTTTCGTGTTCAAATTCTAAGGGGAAATAGGGAAACTGAGCCATTACTAACAATGTATTAGGCAGAACATTTCTTTGTTATCAAATCCACTCTAGCCTTTAGTCAGATGTAACATATTAAATGGAATAAGACATCTTACCCATAGACATAACAAACATTAAATAAAATTATGTAATGATACACGAACACCTCTACCCTAAATCAATGTGATAATCAGTAGAAGAAGCACATTTATTATCTGCATGTAAAAATATTGAAATGGGTTTGTTTATTTTTGTCTCCAACTGCAAATTAAAAACACCTGAAAATTGTGATCATTCATATTACCATTGACATACTGATGTTTCAAAAATTATTCATCAAATGTGAGTCATTTAAATCCAGACAGACGGGAAAGATGATCTTTTCATCTTTTGTGTTACAGAACATGTTAGAAAATGTGGCTGCCAGTGAATATTCTGTGATTTGTTTCCATACAGTATATATGTTTTACCAAAAAGACAGTAAAGCTACAAAGTTTTATGAGTGCTGAGCATTGTTATTCCATCCAAATACTCTCTAGTGTTACTATTTGAAGGATATGTTTCATTATCTTCTCCCTGTCTGCCATTCATGTTTTGTATTACCCAAATAAGTGATCTGATACTGCTTCTATGCTCCAGCAGAGTTCCTGGAGCAAATCCATAACAATGGTAGAACCCTTTTTATTTTTGTACAGAAATTGCACTCTGTTTACCAGTGACTTATCCACCCTGAGCCAAAGTAATTTGGTTTCAACTCAGAATTAATAGTTTCATTAGGAGTCGGTTTACTTTGTACATTAAATATGGTTAAAAAAATTTTACAATAACTTAGCATTGATCCACTTGGGAGTAATAAGATTATCTCTTAATAATATGTGGTGCTGTGAGAAGGCTTCTCCACGTTCTTTAGCTTCACCAACGTAATGCTCAGCTCTTGGGGGCTAAAGCAAAAGTAGCATTAAGCTTTGTGTCTCATTGAGTCTAAAAATGACAGCGTAAGGATAGAGTCAAGCTGGGATGAGCTGCTCTAGCAAGAGCATCCGTTGATTATTGTACTCCAGCGAGAACTGCTTCTGCAGATGGATGGTGCCACATAGTAATTTGGCTTTGCCTTTGCCTGACCTCGGTCAGTACTGACATAGCTGGCTATCCCAGCTTCAGACCATTTCAAGAGTTCTTTCCTAGATCAAGAAAGAGAACTTGACCTTTATCTGAGTCCCACATTCTGCAAATCCGTATACATTTGTTTACTGTGGGTATTATTACCCCTAGTCAGGGTAATTCTGAAATTCATCACGGGGAGAATAATGATAAAATCTCCTTCTAATTTTCTGACTGTCACAAAGATAGTTAGCATCATTTGTAAACTAGCTCCACACATGTTTACCTACCAGGAGTTCCGGAGATAACTTGAAACAGTAGTTTACATCTATTAATGCATATTACCGTGGAAGGCAGTCAAGTGAGGGACTCCTTTTGTTCTGCTTTTATATAACGCTTAGTAAAATACATTCTTTTACCTGTCAGGGGTCTCTGGGAGCTACAAGAACAGTGTATTACTAGTGATTCCATATGTTTTTTCTATATTTTTTGTTAATCCTTGTAGAGTCTTGCATAAAATATGTATAATTCTCAGAAATATATTCTGAGAAATGTTAAATACAGTTACTGATTATCATATTATAGTAATTCCTAAAAGCTGTAGGCAGGAACAGGAAGCTGAACAAAAAGAAAGCCTCTAACCAGTGAAGTTACACTAGTATTGTGCCTCTGTGCAGTGCCATTCAGCAGCAGTCCATAGGAAATCCATTTGCTAAAACCAGCCCAACTAATTCTGAAGCCTAGTATCATCAGAGCAACAGAAAGTCTAATCTCCATAGAAAATTACCAGTTCAGGACTTACTACTGTGTTGTGTATTGAGCTCCGCATTTGGAGAGAAACTTAGTGGGGAGAAACATGTAGTACAAAAGAATCACAGTGCATAAAAGCCACTTTTGTGTGTTAGATAGGAGATTACTTCACTCTTCAGAATATGGTTCTTCACACCAAGAACAGCACAGTATGCAACTTGGATGAATGGGCCTCTCAGGAGCATGACATAGTATTGTGTTCAGAAATTTAAAATATATCTGTTCCCAGCATCTCAATCAGCTATGCCATATAATATCTTTGCTTACCTTGTCTTGATGTGTTCAGGATACTCACCTGCCTAGTAGTTTGTACTCTGATCTTTCAAGGTACATTAGCAATTTGGCTTCTTGGTTCCTTCTGATACTCCATATTCTCATTTAGAAATAATTAGGCATCTTTCAGTTATTATCTTCATTTCTCTGTTTTTCCTCTCTTCCTTTTGCGATCTTCAATTTAAGCTCTCAAAATCCTCATCGTACCAGTAGTCATTCTTAGAAGTCCCTCTTCTACAAATAGCTATGTGTTCTTAGTAGGTAAGTGTGACATTTTATGTATAAGTTACATTTTTGTCCCTTTATGATTGGAGATAAGAAGCAGACAGGCCTAACTTTCACAGGTGAAATAAAATCAACTGTTTGCAGAGCTGTTCATAGCAAGATTTGTATTCGGTTGTTTTCCCTTTGTTCATGAACAGCGTTGAAGATGGATAGTGGTTTTCCAGAATGGGTGAAGAGAACACTGATTAATAAGTCTGCCATCTTCAGCTGACTTACATTTAATCCCTACTGATGTCTTTAGATTGTGTGTGGGATAACTATGGTCAAAGAAGAGAGAGGGAAAGCACTGATGCTACCGAATGTGTTAAACATTTCTTATTATTGACATTTTGGATTAAAGCAAGAAGTTTGAACAGAGTTTTCACCTGATCATCCTCTTTGCATCAGTGCACCCAATTAGCCTGAACTACAAAGTGTTAGGTGCAGACCCTGCCGGTGTGGATATTTCTGTTCTTGGGGGTATTTCAGCCTCAGCCCCTCACTCAGCCTAAGCAATGAGTGATGCCATGCTAGCATGCTATGACACTAGGAAGCACTGAAGCTATATAACTGAAACCTTAGCAAAGGCTATAGAAAGGGGAGCCTTCGAGGATGATGAGGAAAGGGAAGGAGAAAAGCAAACTTTGACTCTTTGATGTCAGGCTTCTTTGGATACCTGTGGTTATGTTGGCCGGCATCTCCTAACAAAGCATCCTGATTGTGGAAAGAATAAATTCTGCCTGAATACTGGGATCGGATATCACAAATGTGGTCTAACTCTGTATGAATGACATGAACTGGTTCTTGAAGGCAAATTAGCAACAGGGTGAAACTTCTGAAAGAGAATAAGGGAATATTTGATACCACAATTATTGCAATGAAAGTCATTTTAAGTGCTGGAACAAATGCAGCTCTATTGATATGCTGCCGAGTTCAAGACTTGCACTGGCAGTCGTTCACAAGAGATTCTCGGGAAACCTTCAAAACATTTGTGGCTAGAGCATATCTTCCTCAAAAAGTTGTTTAGTTGTTCTGTGAAATGTGTGCAGACAATTATAAGCCCTCAAAATATGTCACACCCTTCATGATGCTATCAGCACTGTCAGGAGAGCAACAGTTCATTAGAATATTTGTCTACCAGCTTTTGGTGGTACTTCGGTGGCCGGCTGCCATCATCCATCTTTGAGCGAGTGCCATTCTTAGTGATAAATATTCCTAATAATCTTAGTCAGCTCCAGGATGGACTACTACAACTCTTTATTTGGGCTGTTACTAGGAAGTTGAAAGAAAACAGCAACTTGTGGACAAAGCATTGGCTTATCTGGGAGCTTAGTGAGCCTCAGGAGGGCATATTAAGCTGATTCTGCATCCTTCTCTTCCTTTCTGCCCCCTTTCTATTGCACTGGGAATCTGAATGGGCTCAAAATATCAAAGGCTGTATTTGCAGGATCTGTTACCATCATTTATCCAGCTCAATAGGACCTGAATAGAGTCCAAAGAGAAATTCATAATGATTATAGGTGACCTATTCTTACTGTAGGCTCTAGAGCTATCATCTCAAACTAAAGACACAGCACCGAAGCAGGGTTGTGAACCTGAGAGAGAAGTAGATAGTGTTGTGCATTTGGAAAGGGATCACAGCTTCATTCCAGAGAAATCCTAAAATTGTCATTTCAGGCGCTGTGCTTATTTGTTCATCATCATATTTCTGAAGGGATAAGACCCAGAGAAATCCAGGCTGCTCTGTGAACAGAGGCATCCCACAGATTTGCGTTCCTTTCCGCGGCTACAATCCCCTTCGAGCTATCCATTTTAATATGACCAGCTCATACACAGGTTTCTCACCTCTTCCCATGTCTCCAAGCCCACTTGAACTAGCCAGGTACCCTTGCATTTCTCCAATTTCTTCCTCTAAACAAGAGACAACGTACTGTGTAGCTTGTCTAGAGCCATGTACTTGCTGATAGGCAATCCAGCAATTCAATTAGGGGACAAGCTCTCCTAGCTTTCTCTGTAATGAGGTCATTTAAAAGTTCCCTGTCTTCTGCGCAACAACTGATTTAAAAAAGGCACTTGCGATAATTTAGTGAGACTTCTGAAAAATTTGCTTTGAATTGGCCATCAGGTTCAAAAGTTATGAAGAAGAATTGACAGATAGATGGAAAGTGTAATTGCGTGGCTACTGTTTTGTTAGGAAAGGGGCCCAGAAATAAGAAGTGTGTTTCCTTGCTGCAGTTCATTATTATACCGGGACCAAGATGGAGCAGGGTTCATCTTTCTGGGTAGTTCTCATTGCTTTTCATTTTATGGATGTATAGCATCCATCTTGATACTAAAATGACAGAGACTTTTAAAATGCTAATAATTAAACTAGGTATTTGAGACAGGAAATATTCCTAGGTAGGTTTATAGTAAGAATAGAGGCACTCTCCAGTCATAATCCGGAACTAGAAGGTTGCTATATTTATGCTGCTAATAGAGGCTGACTAATAAAAATAACCAAAGCCACTGGCTGTTAATGGGCCAATAGGAATTACCTGTCTAATCACCAGAGATATTTAATTTGAATTCCGCTTGCCAAGTTTACTATGTCCTATTTTATTGAGTCAGCATGCAATAGAGAAGATGCATTGCACTCCCATTCCCTTCACTTGCATCCCCAGCACAAGATTCTCATTTTGGCTGGCGTTCCAGCACATTTATTTCATGAAACTCTGTCATTTGAGCCTGCCTTTTCTGATCAGTCAGCCAGGAGTAAAACCGATGCTGAGAATCTATTGTAAAGGGCAAAGAAATCTATGCGGGCCTCACCTCTACAATTCAGTACATCTTGCCTGAAGCTTTGCGCATAGCAGGGTGCCTCGCAACCATGAAAGGACTGCCAATGTAAAAATAGTTTCTTCCTAACCAAGTCCCATGTTACGTTTTGTGAGTGAGCTCACCTACACAAGCCCAAGTAGATGCTGAATCTTTCCAGAGATGTTCTCCAATGATTAGTTCTGCTGGAGAGCAGATGTTAATATCTTTAAATTGGATGCAAATTTACTTCTAGTATTTACATAATGTTATTCAAAACCATTAGCAACCTTGTTACCTCATGCAGTAGTGTACTATACCAGAAATACTTACTGTTTGCTACAGTCTTGTTTATTGTGCAAAATGTTCCTTAAAATGGGAAGAATAAACTGATTTTAAGCATGAAGTATCTCTGGAATATGTAAATGTAGCATACACAGGGAAAATTTTCTCTTTGGCAGTCTTTGCAATTAATTCCGAGAGAGTTCATAACTCAGCATTTACACAACATACTTGTAGCTTCCTAAATATTTATCTGTCTAACTTGAGGCATGTATATTTAGACATTTCTGGTCCCTTACTGCAACCTGTCACTTTGGTCAGATACGTGACCTGTGAATTCATATCCTCTTCCTGCAATATCTCGTTATTTGAAGGCTACTGTTCAGTGTAAAGAGCCACATTAGTATGTGAGAATATAGCTAAACACTACTTTGATAGCAGCTTCCAAACATAAAGGAAAACATTTACTTTTCAAACACCTGCCAGAAATTGCATATCCCCAAAGTTGATAGAAGCCTTCAAGTAGGATTTAGCAGCAAAAAAAGGTGCTGCCAGTTGTCTTCTTGCTTTCTCCCTGTGGGTTGATGAAAGCACATCAGAAGTGCTTCTGGGCCAATCCTATAGAAAGGAGAACACTTTAAGATTCAAGGTGTTTATATGAATTGGAAGTTTTGTATGCTACTTTATTTGACACACCCCACCCCCCCACCCCCCTTTTTTTTTCTTGACAAAAACCCATTCTTTCATTTCCTTCCCTCTGGATCTGTTCCTAACGCAGTGGTAGAAGTAGAAAGCAGAAAACATTGGTGAGATGATTCCAATGCTGTGAGAAGAGTTAGGCTCACCTGCCTTTTAATGACATTCACTGTGACTTTTGAGTGGCGTATGTGAAAAGAAGGGGGTTTATTTCTGCTTCCAAGGCACTCCAAAATAATGCTTTTGAAGCCTCCGTGCCTGGCATTGTGAGAGAAGCTATCCGTGAAGTCAACAGCACTCGACTCTACTTTTGCCTCTTTTCTGTCCCTTTCTGCTCTCTTTTGCTCTCTTGAGTATCATTATCAATACTTCACAATACCATTTGCGATGTTGGGCTACAGGCAAGATGCACTGCTTGAATTATCTCAGAATATTAGAAAACAAATCTCAGTCATTGACAAAAAAATTTGGCTGAGAAGATTGCACGCAATTACTGCAATTAATTTCTCGTTTAGGCTTCTGAAGCGGGAAAAAAGGAAGACATAAGAGCACATTTTTCATTCAAAATGATCTGGTCTACTAGAAGAAAAATTATTCACATCAGTGAGAAATGCAGGCCTTTGCCACATGAAGTGTATGTTCAGATAAATATTGGGTATGAATAAAAGAAATTTCTAATTTTAAAGGCTGATTCATGTGTTGTTGAAAGTACTGGTGACCGATGATGAACTCCTCCTCCTTCTCTTCCAATGGTGTCAAGTTCAGTGACACCTTAGGACACCTGTTACTTAAGTGCATCTGCATACCGTAAAGATATTTGAGGACAGCTCTAACAAGCACGCTTGACATTTTGAAAGGCTCTTTTTTTCCCCGAAGGCATTTGAAAAACTGACATCTTTTGTTCCAAAGGGATGTTCTCCCTCCCTCCCCTTTCCTTCTCCTCCTTCCTTTTCACTTCCCTTTGCAATCACCTCAGGTTCAGCAAATGCCTGAAGAATGGCCTGGTGTGTGTCAGGTTCCCACATTAATTAGTACAGATTTTCTCTGAACTGGCTGTGATAGATCATTCTGCCAGCTTCATGTCCGCAATATATGAAAATTGGCATAGGTGGACTTAGCACACAGTATGTGAAATGCAGTTATTTACTCTCAGTCATTTCTTCTGATTACCTTCGGTTTTTCAAGGTCACAAAATGTATTTGCTTCTTGCTGGGCATAATTTCAGCAGCCTTTATTTAATCATTCCAAAGGATTTCTCTCATCCTCCCGTAACGCTTGTAGTGTACTCAGGGCTTCGTATAGGTGGGAAATGGGGAAGCAGAGTCTTTGCAAGCTCCAGAAATGTAGTCATTTCAAAGAATAAGAGACAAATTTCCTTGGCACGTAGGAAGCGGGTCATATTTTGGAAGGAGCCTTGTTGTGTTGCTCCTCATTCAACACGAGATGCACAGTGAGGCGGGACGGGGCACAGCCTGGAGCACTGGCCAGGCACCCATGAACACCGAGTAGACATAGCCCTAGGCATCCACCTTTGGCCTCTTTTTCTCATCAGCAGCATCATTTTTATAAGCAGTGATTAAAAGCCTGTGCCATCCCCTGGCAGACATTTCTGTGTTCCGCAGTGCCCAGTGATTTGCCAGCCTTTAGAGTTTTTAGCCATTCTGCTGATGCTGCTGTAACATGAGTTGATTCTAACTTGGTTAAATTTAACGTCGTGGCATGGTATTTGAATATTTATCAAGCTGTGGAGAGTTAATGCAGTATGGCATTAATTAGCCTTTCTGCCTGTCTTCTTCTTTTTTTTGATGTCATTCTTAGTTTAATAAATTAGTTTCTGGAAATGAAGTAGAATGGACTCCAGGGTCCATGGATGGTTAGCTTCCCACTGCAGCCAAGATGAACATAGTATTAAAGCACAGAGTGTCAGCTATGAAGCAACACTGAAGAACATGGCAGCTTTTTTTCCCCCCGCATCCAGGAAATTTCCAAGAAAGTATCTGTTAGCAAATTGACATGCTTTCCTCCCAGCTTTAATGATTGTACTAATGGTTATACAGACTCCTAATCAAACTGCACAGAGCTAGCTTTCCTCATTCTTCATAGGCAACTCAGATTGTTATTTTAAATCCCATCACAGCTTCATTAGTGATGGGATTTCAGTGGATGGGATTCAGCTTTCAGTGGCGGTTTCTGTTTGCAAGTGTTTTTCTCCGTGAGTTGTGTGGAACCCACAGCTATGTTCTGCTGTTGTGCTGCTGGGGGCAGTCTCAGCCTGGTACGAGTAACAGTGTTTTACGCCAGCTACACTTCTGGCCTGTAAACTTCAAAACATCTAGTCATATAAATATCATTTCACTTCTTCATATGTCTATGCCCAGCAATACCTCCTGAGGATTGGTGCACGGCCAATACTGGAAGAGGAAATTGATAGTAAGCATTCATTTTCTGAAATAATGTCACATTTTCTTCACAATTCAACTGGGGTGCTGTGATCGCTCAAGGCAGCACAGAAAACAAACACTTCTTTGGGTTTTGACTCATGAGGTATTGCTGTTCTTAAGCAGACGTTCTAAAACTGTTCTAAAAACTGTCTGGAGATCTCTCCGCTTATTTTATTTTTGTTATCCCCAGGAAGCAGAACCTCTCTACGCCCAGATCAACAGACCTAAGAAATAGCATTGTTACAGGCTTGTGGTGCTCCAAGACTCAAACGAAACCCAACAACCTGGCAGGCCTTTGCCTTTCATGCTTTTTTCCGACTGATTTTGTCTGACAAGGAGAGATGATTCCCCTCCTGGACTGGCTCTACATGTGTTCCTGACATTTTTTTTGGCAACCAATGGCAGATTCCTATGGCAGCACAAAATAAAAACTCTCCCTGCTTATCATACCACGAGTCCAGCCCCGTCCCCACAAGTCATGGGTATCCAGGCTAGGAAATCTTACTCCTCGGTCTCCTTTTAAACATTTGTTCTCTTCTGTATGCCACATATAAATAATGAGCATCTGAAATTTATTGAGTATTAGACATTCTTTTTCTTTTGAGCAGAGTCTGTATGTAGCAGTGGCATTATCATTCAACAGCCTTTTGGGCACAAGTCGGCACTTTTTATGTCATGGTGACATGTTTTTCATCATCATTTACATCAGGCTGATCCTGACTTTTTTTTTCCCCTGTGTAGACATATTTAAACAACAACAAAAAAAAATACTGGCAGTGTCATTTTTTTTTTATTATTTCTTATTCTGTAGTTTTGTATGAGTGACAGATCTAACAGCAAAACGCCTCCTGCGGAAATGATTCCTAACTTGAAACCACAGAATAAAACTCGGTTGTTTATCCATCCTGACTGAAAATGTTGCCAAATGGACCTTTAAGTTCGAGTGCATCATGAGGAAGAAATGCTGCTTTTCTGTTTGAATACTCATGTTGTGGGTAGAGAAAGGACATCGAGTCCCACTGAGGAAAGACGAAAGAGTCAGTATTTCCTAGGAAACTCTAAACAAAGTGCAGAAAAGGAATATTTTTATTTCTTCAATATCTTGCTGCTGTAATGCTATGCAGACAAGTGTTTTCTTCTCTGTGTGCCATTTTTGATGAAAAAAAAAATCATTTGCCAAATAATACTGGTATGATTCTGGTTTAGGAATTTGGATGAAGCGAACTTTACAAATGGGAGAAGGATGGCATGGATTTTGGAATAACAAACTGATTCTGTGATCAAATTGTTCATCTTTATCACTTTTTGTACATCAGAAAAATCAAATGGGATTTTTATTTTATAACTTGAAAAAAATCTTACTGTTAACTCTTTAAATGTTTAAGGGGAAATGGCTTTAAGGAGTTCGAATGAAAATTGCCAGTTTTTTTGTAAATATAAATGTTATGAAAATTCTTTTACTAATGCCATTACACAGTAGAGAAGGTAGCAAATTGCAGTGCTTGGGAGGTGTGGCAAACCCAATTTGTGGTTCTCACATCACTTACGTTTTTTCACATGCTTACAGTAATGGGCTGAAGCTCAAGTGCATTTGCCAAAAGCAGTCAGCTTGTCAGCGACTAGTGAAATTAATGGGAACACGTGATTTTATGATCTAGTTTTCACATGGACATACTCCACTTACAAGAAATCACATTTCATTGACATTCCTTTGCGATTCCAGAACCTCTGCATAGAAGTCATCAAACTGTTTACACACAGAACAAAAGAATTTAAATCTTCCTTTTTTTACATTTATGAAGCAAAAGTGCAGTGTTTGGGTTCATATGTTTAGCACATGATTTTCATAAAGAATCTATATATTTTTGCCCTACAGAGAATTGTTATACAGGTCAAATGTGTTTTCCTGATGTTCCTATGCAGTTACAGTATATTGAATTTAGTGGTTTAACACTAAAAAAAAAAAGAAGAAAAAAAAAGAAAAAAAAAAGAAAAAATAGAAAAAGGTTAAAGAAATCAAGTGATTAATCAGTTTTTAGGGTTGTTGTGCAGATTTTGTTTTTAAATTGACACATTAGGATTTACATTTTTGTCATTATTAAAATAGGCCTGGAGTTATAAATATTTTGCTTTGTTTCATCTCTATTATAAGCTAAAAATGGTTTAGAAGACAGAATAACTGGGGTGGCGATTGTTGATATGTACAACCAAATCTCACAACACGATTCCGGTCTTTTATTTTGAATTAGAGAAATTAGAGAAATGTGCGTTACAGAATGTATGTGAATGAAAAATTAGCTGTGAATAGACCTAATGAACCTGCAGAGAAGAGAACTTTTATCCCCATTCATGGTCATTTGATGCTTATTCCTTAGTCATGTGCAAAACAGCTTTGTAGCGAATCTTATTTTCCCATCAGAAGAATGATCAAGAAATTCTAACTGGAGAAGGTGAATTAAGACTTGGTGGATTGAGTGTTTCAGGATAAAAAGCAGAGGTAAAAGCATTTCTGAAGGACATTTCTTTAAGAATATTTTCCTAATTTGCACAGTGGTGCTACTTTCTTCCTCACTGGCTCTTTTGGGTTTTGTCCTACATACGGAACCATGAAGACAATTTTGGTTCATCATGGACATTTGAGGTTTAGTATCGTCAGTGCATTTCCAGTTATGGGGTAAAATGTTGAAAGAAAAAGAAGAGATTTATGTCTCAGAGGATCCATTGACATCATATTTGTAGGAAGCAGATCATTTACGTAGTCCTTGCAACGAATAGGTGTGGAGGGAGTGAGGCTGGGATTTTAGTGTCTCATGAGAGACAGCTGGACCATCACTGTGGATGTTTGTCTGACCTTTACCAACGCTCATAAATAAAAACAAATTCTGAATTGTCTTGTCATACAATTAGATCGTCCTTGTCATGGTTGAGATGCTGAGTTGAGAGGACTGGAAGGCCTCTGCACTGTACCAGTATTGCAGATAACTAAAATATCCAGCTTGCGCAATTGTTTAATCCCTCATCCTTCACTGGCACTAAATTCGTCACTTTAAATTTAAAAACCAGGGAATCCCACCAGCCATCCTGTTATCACCCCCCTCCCCCCCCTAGGTTCTTGATCTTTACCTGTCATGAAAAGATATTTTGATAGATCGTAGTCATCCAAGTGTCTGATGAAACCTTTCATCTAATAACGTACCGGGCACCTTCTTTGCAAAAATGTTTACTCTGTGGTTTTCATTCATTTTTATTTCTGCATTCTGACACGTATTTTTTTAATAAAGATGAGAAAGATGAAAATGACTGTTGCAGTACATTTCTAAACCTACTTTAACTTTACCTCAGATAATGACCATTTGTTAACATATACGGACACATTATTTTTAACTTTATGTATAATGCATTCAGCAACAACAAAAAAAACCAACAAATTTTTAGAAATTTTCCATTAATTTCTGTAACACACCATGTAATACTGTTATGAATAAAAACATTAAAAAAAGGCGTCATTTCAGTAAGTTTGTTTCATAGCTTTTGCTCTTCTGTGATAGTTCTGCCATTCTTACAGTACAGTGTGCGTGTCTGTCATGGCCAATATTTTTGACAGTGGAAATATCTGGGAAAGGAGAAAAAAAAAGTGCCTCAATTTGGGGAATACCTAATCTTAAACACTCTAAGTGTTGCTTATCTTGCAAATACTTAACTTGCTGCTTTTAATTGCTGCCTCCCCGTTTTTGGCCTCTTTTCGGGTGTTTTAGGATGAGCATCCCAAACCAGTAGGTATTTTAGTCACCTCCTGTAAAATCTCACGTTCCTGGGAGAGACCACGCTGTGCAATGCTACCAAAGCTGGAGTACCTTTGTGGCATGAGAAGCTGTAATTAATTTTGCTCACATTTTCCTCCTCAAGTAAGTCTTAAAATGAAAAATACACCTTTAAACATGACAATTTGGAAAGTAAAAAATCCCAAAACTTTCCAGTAATATGCACAGAATTGAGAGCAAAGCCTTGATCCAGTAAAATATATTGATGATATCAACTTATATTTCAGTGGGACCTTTCTACTGGTTGGAGCAATGCGTAGGGTAGGCTGAAGTGTTTTGCTGGTGTGAAACTCTTGATGCCACATGCAAAATAACGTTGTTTGATACTCAGAGGTACCGAGTACTGGATCTCTTAGTCGAGATAAGGAATAGTACCATTCTTTGCCAAGTGAGTAGCGCAAATATGCAAGATACCAAATTGAAATTTAAGGGTAAGAAGTATATGTCTATATACAGGAAGAGAGAGAGGTATGGATGTGTGCACGTATATTTATTGTATTTCTTCTTGATGTCTCATCCATGTCTTATCCACCAGAAATATCCAGTAGGTCATGCTGAAACATTCATTGCCTTTGTCAGTGAACATTGTTGAAATACGTGGATCCCACCTAAGAATAAAGGTCATTCTGTTGTGGTGAAAACATGCTAGCGTTAATGTCATTTTGACTTTGTATGTAGCTAACTGTATTGAGATGTCCTTGGAAGGAGGAACATGATCTGTTTTGTTTTCAACGAGCTACAAAACTTCAATTTAAAGTGTAATAAGACACAGCTAAGAATGGTTTTAAAACTAAAATGCATTTTTACAATGTAGGCCAAATCTAGTCTTGTTGATATTCATCTGGTACCCCCACACTGAAGTTGGTTTATGTTGAAAAATCAGAAAAATTGGCTTGTGTTGCACAGTTGCTATGCAGACTCAGTTTAAAAATTCAGAATGAGCAGGTTTGAGATCTAGTTCGGTGATGGTGAGGAATCTCGAAGTAGGAAGGATCTGGCTGCATGTTGGCATTGTTCAGAAGGGGAAAAAGAAATCTGATTCTTACTGTGCTGTGTCAATGTACTATATTACATTAATATTGCTGTAACCTAAGCGCAGTAGGAGTCTGTATATGAGAGTATCCAGCTCAAACATGACTAGTTCAAGCAATGGTCCCGATTTAACTAATGCTAATTAGGGCCATGATCTCCTGCAGTAATGAAAATTTATTTAGCAAATGGTTTGCAGAATCAACCTGCAATTTTACAAAAGTGAGGACTCTGACAGATCTCTCTTTTCCATGTCAGTGACTTCTGGGAAAGCAATTGATTGTATAGACTGGGAATATGCAATTTTAACTTGCTTACATTGGATTAAAGGCAATGTTTTATGTGCTTTAATCACTACACGGTGACAGTTGCTGCAACAGATAAACTAACCTCTTACTTCCTTTTTCTAGGTTGTGATACATATTTCCATGCACCGTTTCCTTTTTTCTTTCTTTTCTTTCTAAACAACTCATGTCCTGTCAGGTTCATATTTATTAGTTTTCTGGCAAATACTGTTCTCAATCAGAAGAATATCATTTCAAAGAAATGAGGGGGTATATCTGTTGGCAATTTTCTATAGAGGTTTGAATCCATTGTCTACAATTGTCTCCCTAAGCCAAGATGGAAAGCACACAGTGGTGAATGAA